AAATAGCACAATCTGCTATGCTGTTAGAGTCACACTAGGGTTTTCTGACCACCAAAATTGCAAACGGGGTAGCATTTGTCAGCGGCCTGGGGGGCGGCGGGGATGGGCATTTTGCCACCACCTCGAGAGGTGGTGGCAAATTCTCTTTTGGCCGTAGCAAATTCTCTTTAGCCTTTTGGGAATTGTTAAAAAAAAAATTACGTGCTTTGTGACCATGATAGGCAGCAATTTTGCAATTGCCAGAGAGTCCCGCTCGTGTCCTTTGTGATCTGCAACCCATGTGTGACCGGGTGGGGTACTATTTCAGCAAACATGGGAAAGAAAATTCAGCACATTTTGCTAGATTGCCACCTCTGTGTGAGCACGCGCTAAGTGGAGCGAAGTACGACTGTCCGTTTTTGTACAGTGGACAGTAGTGGAGCAAGACCCTATATATATTGTCACACTGGAAATCGGAGCGCAAAGGCGGAAAACGACAGAGCAAGAAAAAGAAAAAGAAGTAAGAAAGGAAAGCCCCACCTGTTCGTCACCTCTTATGTACAAGGCCAGCCACGTGGATGACAGGTTAAGCGCTGGCTGCCCCCATCCCCGTGTGTCATAAAGACCCACTTGCACGCAGCCGAAAGGCAAAAAAGCGGTAAAGAAAAGGAGGAGGAGGGAAACCAAACCTGATAGAAGAAGAAAGCCTATTAAACAAACGAAGCAAGTGACACATCCCACAGATAATCCAATTACCATCCCACAGAACCATGGTTCCCAACCGGACGTCCGGATCCCGATCCAGACAGTCCGGTGTCCGGTGTCCGGGTCCGGTGTCCGGTTGGGAGGGTCCGGTTGGACCCCAAAACCAAAAAATTCGAAAAAAAAAAATCGGGGTCCTAGGCCGTTCACCTCCGCCTGGGGCATCCCGGAAAATTGTTGCTTTGTTTTTTTTTTCGATCGGGTACCCCAACCGGACTGGCCCTGAAAGGGCCTCTGAGTAAAATCCGAAATCTGCTGGTAGCCCGCCGGCGGGAGGACACAAATTCGAAATTGGAGGTTGCCCTGGAGGTTTCCGCTGCCGCCGAAGTCCTCGCCCTCAGCAGTGCCGTCGCCCTCAGCAGTGCCGTCGCCGTTTTGCCGCGGAGGTCCGCCCTGCCGCCGTCTTGCTGTCAAAGCTCCATCGCCGTCCCGTTACCATCGAGGTCAGTCTCTCTCTCTCTCTCTCTCTCTCTCTCTCTCTCTCTCTCTCTCTCTCTCTCT